GCCAGTGAGTGCTACTTTGGATGGAAAGTGATCCCATGCTGGGTTTTGTTCCAAGATAATTCTTATGCTCTGAATCTGCTCAAGCTGCTATTCCAAACCTTTAAAGGAGCTCTCCAAAGTCTGGAACCTCTTTGGGGAGTGGGGTTTAGTATCTTGGAATACTCTTTCAAAGCCTGGAGTCGAACCCAGAGTAGACTCAGTGAAATCAATGCAGACTTTAATAAATCTCCTCAAATTTCTAATTTTAAATGTAATCTTGTAGCAGTCCTTGTATATGGAAACCTAGCATCCAAATGTGTCCCCATTGACTGTAGAATTTTTAAAAGCTATTTTTTCCCCGAAATACAGTTCCAAAGTTTCCTCAGCCAACATGTCCAAAATATTTTGTTATGAACATTATGAGACTGCTGTGGGCTAATGCAGAGCTTATGAAGATTAAATTGCATCAATGACTCTAGGAGCTCATTGCATGACTCAAACTGACTTCCATAGGCTAAGGCTGGAATGAGTACCTTAATTCAGCACTGAACATAAGACCAGATGTATCTCTCAAAACTAGAATGTCACTATTGATTTGCCTATGGTTAATTTTAAAACAAAATATATTTATGTGAGTATGTCACATCCAAAAATATGGAAGAACTCAGCTGGATCTCACTAAAAAACAACCCCCAGCCAAGCCTAGCATTCTGTTTCTCACCATTATCCCCTAGGTATCTCTGGGGGAAAAACAGTAAGACAGATAGACAGTCATTTTTTCTTGGTATTCCCTTGGTTTATTTCTACGAATTAAGGAAAACAGTATACAATTGTTTATTTCCTTCTTAAATTTTTAGTTTCATTTAGATCCTGAGCTCAAATCCCTATTTTTCTTCACAACAACCTTGTGATGTTAAGGGGGGGGGGGGGGGAGAGGAAGAGGAGAGGAGAAGAGACAGCCCCAAGATCATTCAATAAATTTCATGGCCCAATGGGGGCTTTAATATGGACCCACCAAATTTCAGTCTAATACTAACCACTACATTACACTGGCTCTACACAAAACTGGTATGAAGTGGGATAGGATCTCAAAAATGCAATTAAAATGTTCTGTTTAACCCCTAGAACAGTGGTTCTCAACCATCCTAATCCCACAACCCCTTAACACAGTTCCTCATGTTGTGATGACTCACAACCATAACATTATTTTCATTGCTACGTCATAACTGTATGTTTGCTACTGCTATGAATTGTAATGTAAATATCTGATACGCATTTCATTCACTGGACCAAATTTGTCATAAATATCAAATATACCCAAATTTGAATACTGATAGTTGGGGGGGGGGGGGATTGATTTTGTCATTTGGGAGTTGTAGTTCCTGTCATTTATAGTTCACCTACAAAGAGCATTCTGAACTCCATCAATGATGGAACTGAACCAAACTTGGAACACAGAACTCCTATGACCAAGAGAATATACTGGAAGGGTTTAGTGGGCATTGACCTTGGGTTTTGGAGTTGTAGTTCACCTACATCCAGAGAGCACTGTGGACTCAAACAATGATAGATCTGGACCAAACTTGGCACAAATACTCAATATACCCAATAAACCCAAATGTGAACACTGGTGGAGTTTGGGGAATAGACATTGACATTTGGGAGTTGTAGTTGCTGGGATTTATAGTTCACCTACAATCAAAGAGAATTCTGAACCCCACCAATGAGAAAAATGGGTCAAACTTCCCACACAAAACCCCCATGACCAGCAGAAAATGCTGTGTTTTCTGATGGTCTCTGATTACCTCTCTGACACCCCCTCATGACCCCCAGGAGTCAATTGAGAAACATTGTCCTAGAGGCTATGACCACCCTCCCCAGGCACCAGAAAAAAATAGAACACACCAACTCAAATAAAATTGGACAGACAATTTATGTGTTTATCGTTATAGGTGCTAAAAACTACTTTTGTTTATACAGGTAGCTGTTACTAGCTGCTTAAACTTCCAAATAAAATAAAACTGACAGGGCTACTGTTTGAGCAATATTTCTTTTTTAAAGGATACAATACAATGACATATTATTTAATAAAGCAATTGTAGTGAATGTTCAATTTTTCACCAGTATAAAAGGATGTAGACTTTTAATCGCTGTGCTTGATCTAAGCTTCAGTAGTGGGAGGCTAATACTGAAGCTTGAGGAAATGTTAACTTCATGCTGGGATTGAATGAGGTCTTGATTAGTGATTTAATTGACTTTTTATACAAAATACTACCTTGGGAGTGATGTCAATACCAAGTAGGGCTTCTTTTGAAATGATAGAAGCAAATCTCTAAGTTTGTAAACAGTTGGATAACTGTCAAGGGGTTTCTTTTACATCATAACCTAAGGCACAGTAAATGCAAGTATGATTTTAAGATGTATCTACTTTCCTGATTTGAAGCAGGTACCTGTGATACTGTAGTAGTCAGTCCTGCTCATCACCATGTCTCCTTGCTAGCGACAAACTCAGATTTAGAAAATATTTAAGACTCTTAGCTTTCAGCCTGAGACCCTTTATCTGAAAAAATAAAGGCTTGGAGGGAAATATTTGTATCTACACATAGTTACATTGCACAGAGAGCTCAACCTTTTTCTGTATATTTCCCTTTCATGGTAAAGTTTCCAGGATTAATACCAAACATGGTTCCTTTACATCATAGGCAGAGGACTGAATTCCTCACCATTGCAGTGCTTGTGCTGAGAAATTCTATTTCTTTAAAAATAAGAAATATATAGCACTTTCAGCAAACTGCTGACCTTGTTGATTCGAACAACTTGACTATCAAGTTCTTATTTAGCACTCACATCCATGCTGTCATTTTTATAGATAACTCAACAAGCAAACAAACCCAGCGTCTTAATGTTGCATTCTTAAAGAGGTCCACTCTATGTTCTATACAATTCTCAACTTCTGTCTATGCACCTGGCCATCCACTTTACCTTTGAGCAATTGGATTGACATCTACATGAAGGCAAAAACCATGCCTACATACAAATCCATGGATTTGGAGGTTACAGGCCTTCAGTTTCCTTTTAAATTGGGTTTAGTGTGGACTTCCTCTAAATATTACGCCTATAGTTCTGAAGAAATGTTGCTGACCTAGACTGAACATGATGCATATCCTGTTATGGGACCGATGGGAAAACACACTAATTCTCAAGAAGATTTTTGTGTCCACCAGTTGCAGTTATATTGCCCATAATAATAATAATGCAATATGTAAGAATGTATGCCTGGATAGTATTGAAGCAATTCTTAAGTATATTCTATATCATTTAAATTTTATATCAGAGTTTAAATATAACATACTTTCTCTTCTCTAGTTCAATATTTTCTTTAAATTGCTGGGTGGTATTTGCTCTCCCAATGAATTTAGATTTAGAGGCAATGCACCTGGACAGATGTGTTGTTTGTGGTTGTGTGTTTTCAAGTTGTTTGGGACTTATGGTGACCCTAAGGTGATCTATTCCACTTATACACAGAACACATCATTTGATGTGCAGGGCTTGATGAATCCAAGGCTGGAGTTATAATTGCTGAAAGAAACATTAACAACCTTAGATATGCGGGTGATACCACTTGAATTGCTGAAAGTGAGGACAAGTTGAGGAGCCTTCTAAACAAGGTGAAAGAAGAAAGTGCAAAAACCGGGTTGCAGTTAAACATTTAAAAACAAGTTCATGGCAACCAGACTGATCGATAACTGGCAAAAAGAGGGAGAAAATGTGGAGGCAGTGAGAGACTTTGTATTTCTAGGTGATGCATCTGGTATTACTGCAGATGCAGACTGCAGTCAGGAAATCAGGAAACTTCCTGGGAGGAGAGCAATGACCAATCTTGATAAATTAGTGAAGAGTAGAGACATCACACTGGCAACGAAGATCCGCATAGTTAAAGCAATGGTATTCCCCATAGTAAGTTATGGATGTGAGAGCTGGACCATAGGGAAGGCTGAGCAAAGTAAAATAGATGCTTTTTAACTGTGGTGTTGGAGTAAAGTTCTGAGAGTGCCTTGGATGACCGCATGAAGATTCAACCAGTCCATATTTCAGGAAATAAAGCCTGACTGCTCATTGGAGGGAAGGATAGTAGAGACCAAGATGAAGTACTTTGGCCGCATAATGAGAAGACAGGAAAGCTTGAAGAAGATAATGGTGCTGGGGAAAATGGAAGGAAAAAGGAAGAGGGGCCAACAAGGGCAAGTTGGGTGGATGTTATCCTTGAAGTGACTGGCTTAACCTTGAAGGAGCTGGGGGTGGCAACAGCCAACAGCGAGGTCTAGCATGGGCTGGTCTATGAGGTTATGAAGAGTTTGAAGCACTTGAACAAATAAACAACGGCAAGGCAATCTTACCATGGGGTTTCCTAAGGCTGAAAGGATGTGACTTACCCAAAGCCACCCAGTGGGTTTTCCTGGCTGATTGGGGAATTCAAACCCTGCTCTCCAGAGTCCTAGTCCAACAATAAAACCAAGTTAAGTCAATGGTAACTATTTCTGAGAATACTTGTCTAGGGCTGTACCTGTTAAAAGATTATTCCCACCCCTCCCCATCTAAACAATTAAATGCAATTAATTAAAACCCATTGATCTCCTCCTTGACTTAATGAATCAGCACACTTAAACATGATCTAGAGTTAAGTTTTAAAGAACAAATAGTGTTTGGTTAGGACTGGGAAAATGCAGTCACATAAAGAAGCAAACTGCAGGCAATGGGACAAATGAAGAAGTAGGGGAGGATCTTGGCCTGGCATTAGAGTTCTGAATTATCTGCTGTTTATGGGTTTCATCTACAACTTTTTATATTTTGCATACCTTATTTATCTAACCTGCACAAGGGTTTGCAATTTTGGGATCAACCAGCCACCCCCTTCACCTTTCATGACTGCAGACATAATAAGCATAACGGTGTCATTCTAACTACTAAAGAACAAGATTCAGTTGAAAGTACCAAAGCAGACATTAAGCAACAACTGAGAAAATGGTTTCTATTATTGTTTTAATTTCAACCACTGATTTGTGATGCATATATTGTGGTATGAAAATCACAGGTTTCTTTGGCAGGGAAACCTGATTTCCTTGGCACAACAATGTTAAGAACATAATTAAGGATTAACAAATCTTTTCACACATTTATAAGCAGTAGTGTCACCATCAGTTGACCACCTATCTTTGCCATTACAAATACCAGTATACAGCAATGGTTTTTTTTTTTATTTTAAAAAAACAGGTATGACATCTGCATTTATAAGTTTGATTCCTGTAGTCTGAAATGTAGCAGTACATACGCCACAAGACCCCAGTGCACTCTGATAATGTTTGACTTGTGCAAATCAGCATAAAGTCGTTTTATGTTTACCTTGTTGTAGTCAAACCTGAACATATTTCTGTTATACATAAGGTAAACAAGTCTTTGCATATATCGTACAAAGTCATACAATGTTAAAGAAGTCCCCTTCTTTCCCTCTCCCCGACCACATCTTTTAGCCAGTATCTTGATGTTTATGAGACATTTCATGAGACATGTTATGATAGGATTGCTGTAAGTTTTCTGGGCTGTATGGCCATGTTCCAGAAGCATTCTCTCCTGATGTTTTGCCCATATCTATGGCAGGCATCCTCAGAGTTTAAGGGATTTGTTGGAAACTAGACAAATGAGGTTTATATATCTGTGGAATGTAAATAAAGAGTAACGCTCAAAAAGCACAGGAATTCCAGACAAGAATCAATCAGGGCCAGCTAACACCACCCAACAAAGGATTCCCCCAGGCAGTAACCAGCCAGGCATTGAAGCTACAAGGCTATTGAAAGCTAATCAAGGTGGTCAGTTGCAACATTCATACCTGCCTCAAGCAGACAAAAGTTCTTTCTCCCACCCTGGACATTCCACAGATATATAAAGCTCACTTGCATAGTTTCCAACAGAGCCCTCAATCTCTGAGGATGCCTGTCACAGAAGTGGGTGAAACGTCAGAAGAGAATGCTTCTGAAACATGGCCATACAGCTCGGAAAACTCACAGCAACCCAGTGATTCTGGCCATGAAAGACTTTGACAACACATGTTATGATTTCTAAGTGGCTGCCTCCACCCTGTGGTAAATAGAAACAGGATCATGTTATACATGTATTCAGGACCATGAGACTCTTGTAATGGCATAGAACAAAGCATTATGGAAGGCACCCCATCCCTTGTCCATGTTTAGACTTTGCTAGACAGCTTGCGTCTTCCACGGGCTCCTTGCTTCTCGTAGTGATCTGTCATAAGGTAGTGAGGTGAAAAATGAATTTTTCAGCTGGCAGTTAATGAAAAGTACAATTATAGTCACAGCCAGCAGTAGGAAGAAGAAGAGAATAATGTAAGTCACTAGATCTGGCTTATTTATCTCACCTTCTTTTAACACTCGGGTGGTGGACATGTAAAAAGCCGAGGAGCTGACAGGTCTCTGGGTGCTCCCGATGTAAGGAGTGTTTGTCTGGATGATCAAGTGAGCGTCTGTGGCCCCAGTAGAGTTGAGAAAATCCCCATACATTCTCCCGGGTGGATTCCTTCCTTGCTGCTCACAATGAAACACAAAGCCGTGTGTGTATCCAAGGGGGAAAAAAATCTTCTATGTATTCAAGAGCAAACCAACCTGCCACATATCAGGAGGAAGAAGGAGGATGGAAAAGGGAGGAAGAAACTGGTCCCCTTACAATATCCTTGAAAAGTCAGGGAAGGCACCTGCTGGTCATCCTTCTACAGGTTTGCCTCAGGTAATAGGGGATGGAGGACCTTCTTAGGGCATTTGCCACGTTGCTACTCTTAGTTCCCTTTCTCAGGTGACCTGCAGGAGGGTCACAAAGTCAACTTGGGTGAAGCTGTAAAACAGACAGAAGGAGATAGGAGGCTCATTCCCCCCAAATCCAGGGAGAGGAGAGGAGAAGAGAGGGTCCACTCACTTGCTTGGCTGGAAAGGCACCCAAAGAGCTTCCTAAGGAGAGGTGCCTCCAAGCCAGAGCTCAGGGCAAAAACCAGGTCCAGACCTTTCCCTGGCCTGTGGCTGACTCTCCAGTCTCCAGTGGCAAGAAGGGGGGCTTCTCTGGAGCATAGGGTAGGAGTCTCCCCTGGTCTCTCGAGGTCCCAACTGGAAGAAGGAGAGGAAGGAAGAGAAGGACTCGCTCCGGGTAGCCGTCTCGCCTTCGAAAGGGAGGAGAAGCAAACTCTCTCGGTTCCTGGAGGGCTTCTCCTGCAAAGAGGGACCTGGGAGCTTCGGGCAGCTCTCTTTCCTTAGCTCCTGCTTTGCTCTACGAGGAGAAAGCAGAAAGGAGGTTTGCTCCGGCGAGCGCCTTTCAAAGCTGCAAGAGAAGAGTCGGGAGGAAGGGGAAAGTCCTCGGAAGCGCCAACGGGGAGAGAGAGAAAGAGAGAAAGAGAAGGAGGCGAGAAGGACTCCAAGTACCTCGCCGCCCTTCTTTTCCCAAAGCCCTTCCCCTCCTCTGCTTTCTCGAGACTGTGGTTATTCCAACGGGACTCTCGGGAGTGCGCTGCCTGTCCGAGGGAGCCTTGCCCCCCTCCGCAGCCTGTGACTTCTCCTGCACCCAATTGCCTTTCCCCACTTGTGATTCGCCCCTGGCTCCTCGCCCAGCCTCTTTCTCGCCCTGCCTCCCAGGCTGATCCAGCAGATCAGCCCTCCTGCTCAGGCTTCATTGGGAACATCACAGCTAAGGGCCAGATCAGGGAAATATGTGCGATGGGGACGAGGAAGGAGCTCAGCTGGGCCTGGAGGGACACACAGCCCCCACCTCTCTTTCCCAGCCTTTGGCTCAGGTTGGATCCATACTATCCAATAATAGAGCTTGAAATGCATTTTATGGGCAGTGTAGATTCATATAATGCAGTCTGAACTGCATTATATGTATCCACACTGACAACATAATGTAGTTATTTATTTATCGCGTCAACAGTTAATTGAGGGCACATTATAATGTATTTAAAAACACCAACAAAGTTGGTGTTTATACTTTTTTCATATAGCCTAGTGTCTGCAAGCTTTCTCTAGTATAGCTTTATCTTTGGGTGCATCTACACCAATGTTTCTCAACCTTCCTCATGCTGTGACCCATTAATTAAAACTTGTGCGCCAACTGCGCCCGTACCTTGGGAAGTCTGACTTGGCCACGGTAGTCCACGCTTTGGTTACATCCCATTTAGACTACTGCAATGCTCTCTACGTGGGGTTGCCTCTGAAGACTGCCCAGAAGCTTCAATCAGTCCAACGTGCGGCAGCCAGATTGCTAACAGGGGCGGGGTACAGAGATCATACAACCCCTCTGTTACGCCAGCTCCACTGGCTGCCAATCAGCTTCCGGGCACAATTCAAAGTGCTGGTTTTGACCTATAAAGCCCTAAACGGCTCTGGCCCAGTTTACCTGTCCGAACGGATTCTCCCCTATGAACCATCAAGGCTATTAAGATCTTCYGGGSGGGGGGGCCCTGCTCTCGGTCCCACCACCCTCRCAATCACGGYTGGTGGGGACGAGAGACAGGGSCTKCTCGGTGGTGGCCCCCCGGCTTTGGAACTCCCTCCCACTAGAGGTTAGATCTGCMCCCTCCCTCCTGACGTTCAGGAAATCACTAAAGACCTGGCTCTGGAATGCAGCATTCGAGGACTGAACCTAGAACCTTCCCTGTGATGAATTATGATGAACTGTGACTAYGAACATGACYATGACRAGRGACAGGGCCTTCTCGGTGGTGGCTCCCCGGCTTTGGAAYTCCCTYCCACTAGAGGTTAGATCTGCCCCCTCCCTCCTGAYGTTCAGGAAATCACTAAAAACWTGGCTCTRGAAGGTGGCATTYGGGGACTGAACCTAGAACCTTYYCCGGTGATGAATTATGATGAACTGTGACTATGAGCATGACTATGACTTTGACTGGATTGACGATTTGGCGTAGGAAACTGTAATGATGTAATGATGATGTTTTTATTGTACTGTGTTGTGTTATTTTGATATATAATGATGTGTACTTGTTGCTCTTTTATATGATTGTATTTTATATATGCTGTAAACCAACCTGAGTCCCTCGTCGAGGTTGAGAAGGCCGGTATAGAAAACCTCTAAATTAATGTAGTTCCTCATGTTGTGGTGACCCCCAACCATAAAATTATTTTCGTTGCTACTTCATAACTGCAATTTTGCTACTGTTATGAATCCTCATTGTCATGCTATGCAGGATGTATTTTCATTCACTGGAGCAAATTTGGCACAAATACCCAATATGCCCAAATTTGAATACTGTTGGAGTTGGTTTTGTCATTTGTGAGTTGTAGTTGCTGTCATTTATAGTTCACCTACAATCAAAAAGGATTCTAAACTCCACAAACAATGGAATTGAACCAGAATTGGCACACAGAACTCCCATGATGAACAGAAAATGCTGGAAGGGTTTGGTGGACACTGCCCGTGAGCTTTGGAGTTGTAGTTTACCTATAACAACAACAACAACAACAACAACAATCTTTATACTTTGCCACCATCTCCCCGAAGGGGCCTCGGGGCAGCTTACAAACATCACAACAAAGCAAATAAAACATAAGAAATACAATAAAACAGTGCAGAAATACAATCACAATGAGCGGACCACATGAACATGATAAAATGATAAAAACTCAGGATGAGATAGAAATGAAACAGGAAATATTTGTGCAGGAGACACTGTGAACTAAAACAATAATGAATCTGGACCATACTCAATATGCCCAAATGTGAACACTGGTGGAGTTTGGGGAAGATAGACCATGGGATTTGGGAGTTGTAATTGCTGAGATTTATAGCTCACCTACAATCAAAGAACGCCCTGAACCCCACCAATGCCAAACTTCCCACACAGAACCCCCATGACAAACAGAAAATACTGAGTTTTCTGATGGTCTTTGGTAACCCCTTGTGACCCCCCAGGAGTCCCGACTCCCAAGCTGAGAAACACTCATCTACACTGTCCAATAATACAGTTTGAAATGCATAATACAGTTTGAAATGCAGTCTGAACTGAATTATATGTATCCACACTGACCACATAATGTAGTTATTTCAGAAGCAAATTGAGGGCACAGTTATAGTGCATTTAAAAACACCAACAAAGTTAAAAACTTGGCATAAAACTAAATGTTCTTTGACCAGAGGCTGGCCACTTGGAGTGCCTTTGGTGTTGCTATAAGGAGGTGCTCCATTGTACAAGTGGCAGGGCTCAGGCTGCATTGCAATAGGTGGTCTGTGGTTTGCTCTACTCCACACTTGCATGTCGTGGACTCCACTTTGAAGCCCTATTTCTTAAGGTTGGCTCTGGAGCACAGTCTGTTAAGTGCCTTCCAAGTTGCCTAGCTTTCTGTGTGCCCAGGGGAAAGTTTCTCATCCAGTCTCACCCACTGAAGTTCTGGGTTTCGGCTTGTTACTTTTAGACTCTCTGCCCTGAGTCCCTCCAGGGGTTGAGAAGGGTGGGGTAAAAGTGTTCGAAATAAATAAATAAACAAATTGCTGGGGTTTTTCTGCCAGTGTCTTTGTAGATCTTAGGAAGCTATTTCTTGATTTAAGATATTGGCTTGCTGGCTGATATGCGAACAGGGGATGTGCCAGAGATGTCAATTCCTTAGTCTTTTCATTATTGGCTGCTATTTCCTGGTGGATGTCAGGTGGTGTGATGCCAGCTAAATAGTATAATTTCTCCAGCGGTGTTGGACATAGACATCCTGTGATATTGTAGCATGTCTCATTAAGAGCCACACCCACTTTTTAATGTGGTGGGATGTATTCCACACTGGGCATGCATACTCATAATGCAGTTCAAACTACATTATTCAGTGGTATTGAACTAGTCACAGTTCTCAGTCACAAGGGAGAGGGCAGTGAGAAATTAGAAGAAGATAAAGGGCTTGTCTGAGTCTACACTGATGAAAAAGCCTCTGTTTGAAAACACATTTTTCTGGTCCGCTTTGGTCCTGCAGGGGTCCCATTCATGCCACACACATCACACACATTGTGGTGAGATGGCCACAACTGGCTACACTTTTTCCCTGCCTTACTGACACAACTGTCCACATTTCCAGTCCTTCACATTATTTTCAGCCACATGGCTGTGAATGCTCCACTTTTTCTCTTCCAACGTGTATGCAAGTATAAGTATTTTCTGTTAAATTTGATGTGTGCTAATATTAATATTGATATGTGAGTATCCACATGCATGAACCTTCTTTCGAAATAAAATACAATCCAACCCAGGAAAGAGGAACTTCCTGGTGGGAAAGATTATCTCCCACCAACCAATTCTACCCACCAGGAAATCTCACTGCCCCCCTCCAATTCCACAGCAAAGTGATGTCATCTTGAGGGCCAGCCATACACTTCTAAAATCAAGATTTTCTGTCAAACTTGTGGGGCAAAAGGTATGTTTTTCTGGAGCAGATTAAAGCCCCCCCCCAAAAAAAACCCTACATGGCAAGCAAATGGTCAAGAAAGTCGTGTGTCAGGATTGCAGTACTTATGAGGTACTAATGCCCCCCCTTACAATGTAGACAGGTTCTAAAACTAGGAAACAAAGTAACTGAAATAAGTAACTACATGGGATCTCCATATGTAAAGATATATAATTGAATATCAAAGCCAGAATCATAACTACCATAGTATTTTCAATTCATCTGGTTGTGAAAGCTGAATGATGAAGAAAGCTGACAGGATGAGAGTTTCATGGATATCATGGACTCCCAGGATTATATTCATCCTCCCTTTGGATATCAGCCAGCATACCAATGCCTTAAATCAAGAAACAGCTTCCTGAGATCTACAGAGATACTCACAGGAACATCTCAGAAAGTGAAAGTCCAAAACTGGCAGGTTAAAACTCAGAACCTCAATGAGTGACTCATACCAGATGAGGAACTCTCTCCTGGGCACACAGAAGAGTGGACAACCTGGAATACACTGAACAGACTGTGTTCTGGCACCATGAGGTGCAGAGCAAATCTTCAGAAATGGGCCTTCAAAGTGGAGCCCATGACATGCGAGTGTGGGGAAGAGCAAACCACAGACCACTTGCTACAATGTGGCCTGAGCCCCATCACATGCACAATGGAGGACCTTCTTACAGTGACACCAGAGTCATTCTAAGTGACCAGCTTCTGGTCAAAGGGAATTTAGTATAATCCATGTTTCTCTCTTTCGCCTTCCATTCATGCCTCTTCAAAGTCTACAGCACTGCTGGTCACAGCTGACCTCCAGCAAGAGCACTCAAGGGCCAGGGCTTCCCAGTTCTCGGTGCCTATGCCACAGTTTTTAAGGTTGGTTTAAGCCCATCTTTAAATCTCTTTTCCTGTCCTCCAACATTCCGTTTACTATTCTAGAGTTTGGAGTAGAAAAACTGTTTTGGGAGACGGTGATCAGGCATTTGGACAACGTGGCAGTCCAGCAGAGTTGATGGTGGAGGACCATCATTATAATGCTGGTGGTCTTCGCTTCTGCATAGGTTTTCCCCTGACATGAAGTCCAGTCATGTCCGACTCTGGGGTGTGGTGCTCATCTCAATTTCTAAGCCGAAGAGCCGGTGTTGTCCGTAGACACCTCCAAGGTCACGTGGTCAGCATGACTGCATGGAGCGCCATTACCTTCCCACCGGAGCGGTACCTATTGATCTACTCACATTTACATGTTTTCGAACTGCTAGGTTGGCAGAAGCTGGAGCTGGCAGT